CTAGCACATCCGAACTGAATTTGACATATTTTATTAATCTCTTTGTCTAGTTAATTCTTCAATCCTAGGCCTAGGTTTAGGTTAGGTTAAATTAGCTAGGTTAAGTTCCGTGGACTTGAAAAATTTAGTCTCCAAATGATGTCTTCACTCCTGGATGAATTAGTTCGAATTAGATCGAAAAAGTTTTACCTTTCCTTATTAATTTCTTCCTTCCCCTCGACAAACAGAGATCGGGGCTGACAATTTCAACGAAAAATTATTATTAATGATAAAAAAAAAAAAAAGCCATACTATGCCAATTCACGATGATCCAAAGATCGTACGGGAGAACAAGCAGAGGAATTTTGCAAATTTGCATTAGAACGGAACGGTAGTTGCCAGTATCCATGGTGGGAGGTGAGAAGAGGGGGATGGTAGGAAAATGTTTTTCCCTGGCTGGACGACCGAATCGATTTTGTCCCCAGGTTGTTCTATTAATATCCCGAGGCCCCCACTACTATCCGCCAAAAAGACAGCCCTGCTCTCGTCGCTTTCCAGGCACATAGTTCAGTAGGGTGTGCGCGCTCGGCCAGAGAGCCGGTGTGGCCAAACCCTCCTCACTGAGGACTTCCTTGCGACTCTAAATGTCGCGTTCCTGATAACAACCGTGAAACAGATGGTAGTCTTCTTTCACTTTAAACGAAAAAGACGATTAAAAGGAAGAAGCTTAGAAACAACGGGGGTGGGCGGAATTGGCAAGATGTAAGCATTCACGTCTAAAGTGTCTTTTTCGACGTAGGTCGTTGGAAGTTAAGGTCGACGAGGCGGAGGAGGAGGAGGAAGAGGACGAGGAGGAGGAGGCGGCGATCAGAAGGGAGGGCTGCGACGAATCTGCTGCGAAAACGGCTGACAGCAACGACTACTCCAATCTACCAATGGTAAGTGTTTGAGCCATTTATTGTGAAATATCATTTGAGGAGATTGATTTGAAACTGTAGAGTCTATGGCAAGGGTGTTGATATGCGAGAGTTCGTTCAGTGGCAACACCTATTTCTGACGATGAAATGTAGGAAGTTTTTGAATGAATTTTTCAGATTCTCTGTTAGATGTATTAGCAATCGTGTTTACACGAAAATATTTGATTTTGTAGCGTTGCAAGAATCTATATATCTAAAAGAAATAGTCACATAGTATAGTGCATGCTACAGGGACAGAGAACCCGTTTTTAGAATTGTTTTTAGAATCGTCGAATTAACGAAGCTTAATTTTACCGGCGATATGGCGATCAGAAGTAATATACTCATCGAAAAAACCAGATAATTGATTCGTTCATGCTACCGACTCGGTGATCCAGCTTTTACGCGTGACACTCTGTGAGCCGTTGATAAGTTGCGTGCATGAACGATGACTTCGTTGATCCCTTTATGGACTGAGTACTCAAGGCTGTTCTTGTTAAGCCAATCTTGCAGTCTCGTCCAGACACTCTATCTCGTTGACTATAGCGATTATCTTATGCGAGATAGTCGCAGTTGGAATAATAATAAAACTTCTCCTGAAGTTTTATTAAAAAAAAAAAAAAAAAAAAAAAAATAGATTACGCTCTCTAAATAAGGAAAGATATTCTTCAACAATCGAAAATTTCTATCAGAATTGCATAAATGAATTTCCTGAAATGAATTCCTAAAGAGAATTCGAGATCACCTTGATGCTTGAAAAAAATGCTAATTCCAAGCTGACATTATACCGTCGTCTCGAAGTATTTGGTGGAGGCCCTCGTTTGAAATTCATAGTTTTTTGCTTATCTGATTCAGGATCCACCCGAAGAATCGACTCGGAAACTTCTGGAACGAGAACTTCGACTTTTAGACCCGAGAGACCTAAGATCGCATGCTTGGTACCATGGCAGCACTCTTCGAGGTGGCCGGAAGGGCGCTGAAGCGGAAGTACCGAACGACGGTGATTTCCTGGTGCGGGACTGTGCCTCCCAGCCTGGAAATTACGTCCTTACGGTACGATGGAAAAGCCAACCCCTTCATTTCGTCATCAATAGGGTGAGTTCTTTTAAAAACTATGGCATTCTTTACTTGATCTCTCTTTAGGTGTGATCGACGTTGACTCCATTCTTTTTACCTTCAGTACAATAAACACTTTTGTCCCCCAATCTTCTTTGCAATTGATTACTTCCACGTTTTCCGTGATAACTATTAATAAATAATTAATGTACCGGCGAATAGAAAGTAAGTTCTAGGATAACACTCCTCGAAATGTAAAAAAAGAAAAGAAGCCCTAACAAACATGGTTCGAAGAATTAATAGTTTTAAAGTTGTAAATGATTCTTTGAAGCTTGTGAAAAAGTTAGAATAGCCTGCTCTAATCAGGAAAAGAAAATATTATGTAGTATGATTTTTCGACCCTTGTTCGACAGAACATATTTTCATGTATAAGCGAGTACTGTGTACTCTAGAAGTTGTGAATCCATTTCCCCCATTCGCTCTGTATAATATAATAAATAAGAAATAATTTATTGTAAGAAAATAACATTCGTCGATCGATCGGTATTTCGACGACCGTTGTACTACTCGACATGAAGGAAGTAACTTCTTTACAAACAGGTAGTAATCCAGCCGGAAACGGTGTACGAAAGAGCTCAGTATCAGTTCGAAGACGAAGCGTTCGACACGGTGGCAGATCTGATAACATTTTACGTGGGCAGTGGTCGCCCGATAAGCCAAGCAAGCGGCGCTCGCATAATCAATCCGAAACCGAGATGCGTTCCTCTGACCTGCGCGCCACCACCACCCCCCACGAACAGCCAACACTGCTCCAGCCCTTCCTCTTCGTCCCTATCGACCGGCTCCCCACCACGTCTACCTCGGAAACAGCAACGAAGTCACTCTCTGACTGCGCAGCATCACTCCCCCTCTGATCAGCACGACGGCCGTCATCAAACGTCCAGTCAACAGGCAGCGACTCACGGGCCAGTGCAGTCGAGCACTTTGCCGCGGGTGCCACCCATTCAAAACCAACCACCGTCGTGTTCCTTGTCCCTGGGTCGCCAGAAAATCACGAGGGTGATCTCCGATCCGGCACTGCAACAGCAACAACAGCAACAGCCAACGCTTCAACAACCATCGAGCTTGAACCATTCGCAGAATTCACACGGCACTGCCCCGCCAAAGCCACCGAGGGTGCCGTACGCCCCTAATCATCAGCATCACGCTCATCACCACCATCACCATCACCACCACCACCATCAAGGCTACCAAGCGTCAGGAAGCGACAGTGGAAACGGATCCGGGGACAGCGAGTTCGAAACGAACAACTCTGGCGGTGCTGCTAGTAACCCCTCCTCCTCTGCGCCTATCAAAGGAGTCGTGATCAGAAGTCATTACAACACGAGTAACGATGGTACGAACGGCAACAACGGCAACGAATATGAACTGTCGGCGGAGGAGCAGCTAGTAGTGGCTGCGCCGTCGTTGGAAATCACGACGGCGTTGGACATAGAAGGATTCACCACCCTGTTACTACCAGCCGGTGAACACAGGCCTTTAGATCCCACTGCTTTGAGAGGCGTGTCCGGCATGTTGCACGACTCGGCCCCGCGAGTCTTGGCGTCTCATCTGACGAAGATCGATCTGGAATTGGCTCTGCAACCAGGCACTGGGAACAGAAACGGGCTCAGCGGTATCGAATTGGCTACACTGCCGCATGGTCGACAGGCTAGGATGGACTTGATCGAACGCTCCGAGTGTTTGAAGCTCATCGTAGCGGTGACTGTGCTGGCTGGAGCCACTGCCATCGAAAGGGCCGCTACCATCAGCAAGTGGATCAAAGTGGCCATAGACACGAAGACAGCACTGGGCAATTTGTATGGCTTTTGCGGCGTGATGCTTGGCCTCTGCTTACCTCAGATACAGAGGTTGGCCAACACCTGGCATCTGCTGCGGCAGAAACATACCGACGAAGCGTTCAGCTTCGAGGCGAAGCTCAGGCCCACCCTTCGTGCTATGAACGAGTGCACGAATCCACAGGCACCGAACACTACGCTGCCACATCTGTTGCCCGTCGCTCTCCTCGGGGAACGTGGCCCGGAAGATATTCTAGGTGCGTTGAATAAGTAAACGTAGAAACTTTGGTAGACTTTCTTTTTTTTTTTTTTTTTAATTTAATAAACTGTGTACGCGTTTTCAGGAACCGTAGCTCCGTCAGGCCTGGCAGCAGCAATCCTATCGCCCTGGGAAAATTCAGCCCCCGACTGTGGCCTGTCCATCGTTTGGTCCCATTTAGAATCGGCTCGAAAAATGGCGGAGAGCCTTCCGTTGTTCCGCAGGAATGCGGAGATCGTCCTCGAAGGCTCCAGAAGCGACGAGTTACTATCCGACGCGTTTCGAACAGAGTTCCATATAAAATTCCTGTGGGGCAGTCGGGGAGCCACCGTGGCGCCGGAAGAGAGGCATCTAAAGTTCACGCAAGTATTAGACGCGATGTTCGACAAGTGTTCGTCGACCGAGGTGACGGCCTAAGAACGCGACCAAAAGAGAATATTTTAGATAGAAGCTCGATCTGTACCATGCTTGTTATTCAAGAGAACGAGACTTGCATAGGAAACGAGGGACCCGTTCGATTTAGTTTTTACGTGTACATTATAACTGTGTAATTATGTAATTAAGTGACTGTAATTAATTGTACTTCCGTAGTAGGGTATTTAGTATTTTATTTGATAAGGCCCGTAAGTGTGAGTAAATGCATTGTTAGCCGATTTTAATGGAATAAAGTAGGATTTAGTCGAGTCGAGTTAAGTTTAGTTCACACTTTGTACATTTCATCAAATTTACCCACAGAGCAAATTCTGGAGTTGTTAATAATGTGATAAACAACGAAACATTTAACATTCGTATGAATAACGAGTGATTCTTCGTTATTACATTGAAAGTAAATAGTGGTCTTGTGATATATATGCAAGGCGAAGATTATTATTGTGCAAATGTTGAAACTTAACTGACTCAAACAATTCTAGTTTATTCCACATTGATTCGAAACAGCCGTACCGTTTTCCTGCGATTCTCGCCATTCTTTCAACTATTTCTTCTAACGAGATCGCGAATTATAAGCGTAACCTGTGAAACGTGATTTTTCCATCACGACGACAAAGACACTTCTTATAGGGACGAGTATAGAAACAGAAGGGAAATAATAAGTGTCTTTGCATGGCATATTTCGTCGCAGTGCAGAATCGGGATGTTCAGCCGATCTAGAGATCTGGCGAAAAATCATGCTACCCGAAGGCATTTTAATTGGACGAGATTTCCTTATATTTCCGGGTGAATCTCAGCAAAGAAGAAAAGCTTGAAGCCTTCGAAAGGCTGAGGCAAGAATCTTTCTCGCGGCGTGACGAAATTCTGTGCGAGAACTCCGAAAATACTGAGAACCTGATGGCGCTCGGGAATGTCGCGACCCTAGAAAGTATCTCGCGATTTCGAAGATTTCCTACCAGGAGTTTCCAACTTCCCGAGATATTTTGGGATTCCCGAGAATATCAGGTTCACAGTGTCGTCGCGATATTTCGAATTTCCCAGACTTGCTTTCTCTCGATATAGTAGTCGATCCGGTTCTTTCAGGCCAACTCGTCCCGGGTAGCCCGATTATTTCAGATTGTCCGAGTCCTTTCGTGCTAAGCCCGACTCGTTTCGAATCGATCCGATTTCTCTCAGGCGGTTCGACGCGTTTCGAACAACCTGCGATTCTTCCTGGCGGTTCGACTCGTTTCGCAATAGCTCGACTCGTCTCGGGTATTCTGAGTTCTTCAAGTGCTCCGATTCTGTCGGGTAGCTCGACTCCACCACGGGTCTTGAGTAACCCGATGTTTCGGGCTCGCCTGACGAAGTCAGGTAGTGGCTTGATACTTCAGTGTCGGAATAAGCCTGACAGATTCAGCAAATTGAAAATTCTACATCAAATTCTTCGATCTTGATTGTCAACGTAAAAAATTATTCGATATATTAATATTGAATATCGTCGAATGCATCAGACTTCTTCCGACAGCTGATCGCACCACCCGACACAATCGGGCTACCCGGTTCTTCATATACAGGGTGTCTCATTTAAGTGTGATCGCAAATATGTTTTTTTTTTCTCAATTGCAAAGGTGTAAAAAAGTATTTCATACGTAATTTGAAGGATATGGACCAGCTGCTATTCTGCAAAGCGTTATGTCTCTCCAGGCTTGTTCTTTTTTTCTCGAAGTTTTCAAAGTCATCGATCTTTTTTTTTTTTTTTTTTTTCTTCAAACGACTACATATTTCTCTCTCTGTTACGTCAAATAGCTTACGAAGATGTACACATACGTGCTATGATATGATCTTCCAATCCTCTTATTGGAAACTCGAAACAGCTCAGGAAAACGCAGGCTTTGAGGGAGATGCGAGTATCTATTACGGAAAGATATTTTGAACATCTAGCACGCAGTACTAAAAGTATTACAAACCTTATGATTGAATTCTCTATATGTCCTTTGTACTGTAAAAAAAAAAAAAAA